TAATGCCTTTAACCATATTTCTCATAACATCTCTTAGTGGTCGGATTAAGTTTACTTCTGAAAAAACTCCCCTGTGAACTATGCAGCGTAATGTGTTTGTTAATCATAGTGTGTGCGTTTCCTGGGGTGGTGTTTGGATTTCAGCTGTGTTGTTTGCCAGTAGGGGGAAGGACAGTCACAGAACGCTTTTATTCATTTAGGTTGAAATAGTGGATTTATTGAAAAGTATATTTTGAAGACTGGAGATTGAGGGAATGCCCTTTAACTCTCCTGTTCACATTGTATGTTGTTTAGTTTCAGTATGAACATAACTCAACTTTCATGGAATATCTGTTGACTTAAAATAATGTGAAGGCAATTATAAACTGGAATGTATGTGGTCTGTGTATATTTACAGTAAGGTACAGTAATCAGCAACATCTAATATTACGTTTCTATAGTTGAAAGCAACGTATACACACTCAAACTGTTAGTATGGCAAGTATCAAATAATGAGACTCTCACCTGATCCTTAAACCACGCTCTGGCAAAAAAAAACCCGATATAAATGCACATAAAAATATGAACGATCTATTGTGGAAAAAAACCTTTATTTGTTAGGTAAAAGAAAATCCCATCAGCATCAAAATAGGCTTTGTTTCCTTTCACCAGACAAGTGAATGAACACACCTCCGTTCTTCCATCTGTTGGAGCTGCGTTGGTTCCTCTTAATGGGTCGCTGTAATTGGCGGAGTCAGTAAGCGGGCGCTGCTCCTTGGCGTGTGGCTTAGTTACTGGAGTCCTGAGAGCGATGGAGCTATTGGCAGCTGTGGGCTCAAGGATGCTGCTGCTGCTCCTGCACCTCTGTTCATCTCCACCCCACACAGCTCTGCTCCACAGGGACTATGCTACTGGGACAAATGGCCACCTGGGAGCTGAGCATTTAATGAAGCACACCTTTTTTCTTTTTTTTTTCTTTTTTACTCCTTTTCTCCTCAATTAACCTCTTTTCCTAACGCTTACAATCCCTCCATCTCACATCTGGCATGGCAGCAGAACATGATCTGTTCGGGGAACTTGGGGACTGAGTGAGGGAATTGCCTTTTGCAAAGTGTGTCCCGCATGACCAGAGCCACAAAGCCTACATGCATGCAAAACCCATGCTTTCTTATTTGCCCTCATGACAGTATAGCTATTAGCTGCCTGGTGGCGGTTTTCACTTGTCAAGTATTATAAGATATCCTTCAGAACTCATGGCCAGTTCACAAATTTCTATGCTTTACCGAGATGGGGTTTGTGAGGAGAATGCAGCACTCTTAATGAGCTCCTTCCATCTAACTTTTATCCCTCTTGTCGCCTTCTATCCGTTCACATTTGGCACTTATGCAACCGGCTCTGAGTTTCTCTCATGCCGAACTTGGAGGCCGTGCAGGCGGACGAATGCTTGTTACTTCGATGCGAGGACAGCATTTATGCGATTGTCTCTTCGCAGTGCTTTTGTGGATGATTGACTCGGGTCTTAAGATGATTGCACAACCGTTTACCTTCTCAACTCGCATCCAGTCCTGAACTCTCACTTTCTCTCTCTTTTTCTCTTTGTTCGTCTCTAAAGATCTAAAGTAAGTCCATGTGTGTGCTTGAGAGTCGAGCCATTTATACTGTTGTGAGCTGAACAGTGTGCTTATGATAATGATTACGATGATAAAGCTAATGATTAATGACTATTTGTCCTCCACTCCACTTTCTCTCACTGTAACACCCTGACCCTTTCGTTTACTATCCCCACTATTCATTCAGAAAGCTCTTTCACTGAGGCCACTCAAATTAGCTCCGCTTGGTACGAGCCCAACCGCTACAGGAGACGTCGCAGGACCGAGGCATACATCATTCCCCAGAGCAGGAGCCGTGGCAGGCCTGGACGCGCATCCACCACCCGAGATTTACGCCGCACATTGAAGCACAGCCACACAATCTGGATCCTCTCCACCAGGTCATCTTCAAATTGGTTATTGATCTTCCAATCACAAAATGAATCATACGTTGCCAACACTGTTTAGGTATTGCGTTTACAGTAGCGTAGCTTCTGTTACTGCTGATATACAGCCTGAGGATGGAGTATTGTTCTGAAACCACGAGTAAAACAAGTACCTGCGCGGAACGGGGATAAATGGGAAAAGAAATTAGGAGTCTACCTTGAGATGAATAGGTGTTATGTTGTCATCCAGCAGAGCCTCATTATAACATATCAAAACAGCTGAAGAAACTCTTGACAGTCGCTGAAGTGAGGAGCTTGAAGTCGCCTACTGTGGTGATATGCAACAATGTGTGATTATGGCTGCAGTGATTTTAATATTTTCATTTGAGAATAATTGCGGTGCCTTTTGATATTATTATACTGCAGTTCTTCAGCAAGCTCGAATAGTTCATGCTGTATTTAAGCAATTTTTCTTTTATGTGATGGAAACAAATTCTTCACACGCCTCTTAATTCGGACTTTGTTTAAAAAAGCCATAATGGAAGCCTGTCAATCACTGTACGAAGCTGAATTACACAGTATTCTGTCATAGCGGTATCAGTACATTAATGGACATATAACTTAAATGGGGGAGGTTCCATGGAAGTACTGCTTTTGAGCTCTTGGCATGTATTATGGCGTATTATTTAATGGGGCTTCACTTCTTGCCCAATTAGGCTTCAAGATAGTGTGTAAATGGAGCGTCTGCCCTGGGAGCAGTTTCCTCATAAATGCCAGAGTGGCCATTATCAGAATTCCTTTGTGAGTGAAAACAGACAGCTATAATATAGACTTTGGCCTTAATTGAAAGATTGTGGGAATGACAGTGGTGCGATCTTTCAATTTTCCTTCTTAAATGTCAATATCTGACACAAGACAATGGGACTTTTTTTTTTTCTTCCCTGTACCATTTTTAGGGAGAAAATGTCAAGCTCAGTTTCGTTTTCAAAGATGGCTGCACCATTGCTCATGGCTTCTGTTGTACCGAATATATTAATAGTGTGTGAAGCACATTTGGATCACAGGATCAGTCTAACAAATTGGCTGTTAAATGGAGTCAGATTGTAATCTTGTAGCTGTTGTTTTTGAGTAATGTGCAGTCATGTTCAATTACAGAGGCTCATTAAGACGACGTGGTGATTAGTGATTACAGCACATCGCGTGATTTGTGAGAGCTGAGGCTCTCATGGGTTGTTGAGCACTGGTCAGACGTGTGGCTAGGTAGCTACGTTTTTACTAATTGATGCCTTGTACACTGTTTTATTTAGTAAATATCATATTCATGGACAAATATTTGCTGTTTCCATTTTGAATTTGTTGGCAGTTTTGAATGAGTATAGAAACTCAACTCATGGCCTTGAAACTACGTATGATTTTCTACCTTTTTCTACATCTCTGTCTCATTGTACAGCGGTGGATCTATTTTGTAATTCCCACCTGTTGAGGAGGATATTTCTACGTATGAGGGTCTTAACTTAAATAGACTGCAACTGCTTTGCTTTTGTCGTTCTCAGTTGAGGTAGAAATCCAGCAACAGTCGCCTTTTATTTCTCCTGGACTCTGGCTCCAGCACGGAGGAGGGAATCTGGATGGACAGCTCTGCCCCGTCTCTAGTCAATAGCAGCCAGCATGTAAGGCTCTGTGTCCGTCTGCTGCATGGCAGACACTTATTAGTGGTAATGTCCTCCCATCATCCATCTCCAGGTGGGCTTCCGTCATTGATCTCGGCGCCAAGGCTTGTCACTAGTCGCACCTTGCCGAATGAAAGCGCTGGTCGCCGCCAGCACTGACTTTAGATGACCGAGCTTAATGTTCTGTCAATAGACTCACTTCTGGAAAGCCGGTATTAGAGCAGCGAGGTGACTTGCACAGCAGTGTGACATGTTTTCCTCACAGTGCTCTTCAATACCTAAATTCAGCCTGGCAGTGTGTTCAGATGACATCACTCAATAGGAAAATATCTATTCTCTTTTAATTAGCATGGACTCTTGTAATACAGTGAAATCGGATAATACTAGTAAGTCCTTTGATTAATTATTAACGAACAGGGCTTTGGCAAAACGGTACAGGGTCGTCTGGCAAAATAGGTTAACCTGGCTCGACTTCTATAAGATCTTTGCAATGTGCCCAAGCACTGTGGTGTGCATGTGAATGGTAGATTATTGTTTATCAAGGTAAGTATGCCAATTTTGCTGTATGAGTCTCTGAGTATCTTGGAGTCATCTTCAGAAGAAAGAGTAGATTGGTGACTAATCACCAATGAGTGAGATGTTGCTGTTCAATGAGATTTTTTCGTCGTGAAGACCAGTCAATCTGTGCTCCAACCCTCACCTGAGGTTTGCCTAATGACTGAGAAATTGATATGGCAGAGGTCTGAATTGAGTTGCTGCTGCTTTGAATTGAAAGTCCAATCAACATCTTAGTTCAGCAGTGATATGGCGATAAAACACAGCCACTGAATACATACAGAGACAATGATTAGCAATATCATGTAAGTGGACTGTGTTGCGCTTGTTGCCACTAACACACTGAACTGTTGTAATCCATATGAGTCTGCATGATTTATTTTCACCTCAATTTGTATTTCAAATTTAATTGGACCAGTTCACAGGAGCTTGACTAAATGTTAAATTTATTTTTTGGGCATTTGACTGACCCGGTTCAGTGGTTTAACCGTTGAAGAATTAAATTTAGGTCTCTCCCTAAAGACCTTATCAGATGCCGGTGAAAACGAGGCCATCTGTTGGGAGTGTGTTAGTGAAGTGGCCATGCTGCAAACAGACAGTATGCAAATGAATCCAGTTGTTTCTCTCAAGTTACATTTGTGCATGAGACTGAACATCAAGGTTAGTATATTTCACAGCCACGTTATCTTACCATAATGCTTGAAAACAAGAATTAAAATGAGTAAATGTGTTCTTGTGTGTTGAGACTGGATTAGGTCGACTTAAAAATTGTGGCAATACTAAATAATGTAGAACAGACGACACTGACACTATGAGAGAGTTTAGAGTTAATTTTATTTCTGGAATAGAGTATCACGTTTTGCTACACAACAGTTGTATTACAGCTCAAATTAACTGTCTTCTATCAACAAAATATTGTTGTAGCCTAGAAAAATAAATCAGCCTTTTGTTTTTCATGACGAACATATGAGTTTTCACTGAACATTCATTGAATATTTAATCGCTTAATAAAGCACCCTGTCAAAGATGTCATTTAAAAATGTTATCACGGATGATACATTAATACTACGCAGTGGTTCAATGGATAAAACAGCAAGAATTACTCACTTGGTTTACAAACAACACATGACACATATTACGCGTATCACTCGGATTAGACGGCAATGAACAACAAATCAAATTAACTTTCGAGGTAAAACATTCAAGAATATTACATCTGGCAGGAAAACAGTTTACATCACTTTATTTTAAGCTTAAAGTCTTTTTGTGACATTGATTTTGAAATCATCTACATGGTTCACGTTCACTTTGGCTGATGATTGGTAGACACATAACTAGTGGCATCTGGATACAGGACAACATTTTGTCACATTTTCAACACTACAGATCACTGATTCAATTTTCTGTTGACATGAACCACCACAGATTGAAACACAATATACATTTGGAGAAGAATCCGAATCACAGTACACTTTGAATTGATATTTTCACACCCAAACAGCATGCACGATGTAGATTGCCATAGTTCATTTTAATGTTAACCGATAATGTCGGCTATTTCTGACTATCAAAAATAGTTGATATAATATTACATAAGCTCCATGCATCTAAAGAGTTGATTTGGTAAATTGCACGTATACCCTCACTGCACTGCACTACAGTGCAACAATACATCCCTCATTTTACCTCTTAAGTGCAAATACAAAGCACTTATTGCCTCAATCACCACTGGACTGTATTTTACTTATACAGTAGCACTGATTGCACTCTACACTTATTAACTATTGCTATAACATGGAACACATACGTACAGCACATCTAGACGACCTTAAATGTGCCACTGAAATCAGTTTTCCCTCTACACACATTATTCATAACCAGTCCTCTGCGTTTACAGTTATTGATTCATATATTTATATAAATATCTTAAAGTGCCTCATCAGACAGACTTCACATGAACACAACTTTTTTGGAAACCTCATGGTGTCGATAGAATATATACATCACATAACTTTAGCACATTAAAATGGATCTTGTGTAATATATAATATAACTGATCCAGTTAGTTAATACACGATGGCACACACAAAGTGAAACAGGATCACATTTACAGGATGTCATGGTTGTTAGAAGTATCTTAAATATACTGTTTTGTACTTTTTACAGAATATTCTCATATACATTACTACTCTGTGTGTAAGATATACATTGGGATTGCTCAGCTGATTTGCTCTGATGGGGAGTTGCCCCTCTCATCAGTGCTACAAAGTGGGCATGGCTTAAGTTTCCTAAAGGCAGCAGACCAGTTAATCTCAGTCTGCCGAGTCAAACAGGGTCATTGTTGGACCCCAAATCATTACGTCTACACATATCCCCAAAAAATAAATAGTTTTCCAGTTTTCATTCACATCACATTTTTTTAGTATTTACATATAGTATATATGAACTTTAAGGCTTTGTATTTTGTTGTTAAAGGAACACTATTGCACAGACAACAAAGACACACAAATGCATCTCAACTACTGAGTCTGAGAGTTGAGTGAAGCAGCTTCAGTGGGCGTGCTCTCTCAGTATTTTTTTACTTCCCTGATTTATGACGTTGGCCAGCTCCCTGGCCGCTATCGGCCCGTTTGGTAGCCGCAGCGCTGCTTCTACTGCACAGGTCCCTGAGTTCCAGCAGGCTCTCGTTCAGGGCTTTGACGAAAACGGCCGAGCTCGTCCCCGTGTTCTCCCAGAAACTAGACACACAGAAGATGATGTGGTCTGACTGCGGGTTGTAACAGGCGCCGTAGCCATTGGGCACCACCGGGCCGTAGCAACAGAACATCTCCACTGTGGTTGGGACCTGATACAAGAGAGCACAGTCGGGGTTAGATCAGATAAGCTCGTCAAGAGAACGGGAAAAGGAATGTATTATTGCTTGATCAGTTGACTCTTTCATTGGATTAATCATTTAGCATATAAATGGGCAGAAAGTAGATAAAACAATGCTCATCACAAGCTCTCAGAGCCCGAGCATAACATAAAGATATTGAACCCAATAAGGAGGGCAATAGTGTTTGGCAGGGTCTCCAATTAAAATACTATAGCAGCAAGCACAGAGCCCTCAGTGAGGATCCCAAACACCAGCAGAAACTATATTTAATTTAGTCTTGTGCAAAAACACTATCGGCACCAGTATTTCCTCAACAGTATCTCCTCTGTATTCTCTATCGCCATCCAGAAGCAATCACTTAAAGCGAGCGTTCTGTTAGAATAGAGGGGGATCACATGTTACCTGACTGGTAGACAGGATGAACTGGTTACTGGCCAAATACGTCTCATCACAGAAGATCTCTGGCTTCTCCATGTTGAGCTCCTTTGCGATCCTCAGAAGCCCGAGAAGATGATTGTCTATTGCCAGTCCTGTAATAGCCTGAGAAATACGTTTTTATTTAGTGTTAAGGAAGGATTTTTAATTAGGACCTCAATATGAGCACATGAGTTATTTCCAGTCCAGTCCTTGTTTTGTGTTCAGCAGCTTTTCAACCATCTCACATCACAGTAGGTTGCAGACCATGTTCACTGAATTATCTTAACTGCCTGTCGGATGATTGGAATAGAAATGCAACACCCATATAGCCCATCTTCTTTAAGTGATACCCCAAAATATATTAATTTAATTTAATTTAATTAATCCGTTTTTTGGTCACTATTGGAATCTATACTAACAAATATCAATTCAAGTTGACCGTAGCTGCCACCCTCCCTGCAAGATGATTAAACAAACTTCACACAACCATTTTGGGAAATACAATTAACTTTCTTACTGAGAGTTTAATGAGAGTATAGATACCACTCTCATATCTGTCTGTAAAATATAAAGCTCCAGCTAGGAGACAGTTAGCTTAGGTTAGCATAAAGACTCGAGGTGGGCAAACAGCTAGCCTGTCTAATGTGGTAATGTGAGCTTTAGAGGTATACTGGTAGGTAGATTTATTCATTTTTTTTGTGAGCTTTGGATTAAGCTAGGCTAGCTGTTTTTCTCAGTTTACAGTCATTGTGCTTAGCTAAGCTAACTGTGTCCGAGCTGGAGTTTCATATTTGCCATACAGACATTAGCCTGGTATCAATCTTTCCATCTAACTCTCAGCAAAAAGTGAGTAAGTGCATTTCCCAAAATGTCAAACAATTCTTTTAAGAGTGAATGTTTGATACTCAAAAGACATTTTGAGATGAAGGTGTTTAGTCTTCACATTTAAATTCTGACTGTCACATTAATTATACTGACAAAGGCTGTTTTGAAATACTTACTTTAATTGTATAATTTGTCTGGGCATTAATTGCATCAATCAGTCGTCTCATTTTTTCCAAATCCTGTTGGAGAAACCAAAAACAATTTAGAGGAAAAAGTAAACACAAGGCATTTTTACATTGTACAGAAAGAGAGCAGTGCAGCCAATAAATCCGTTTTCCATAGACCCGTTAAATCTGCAGGGAGATCATCTGCTTGGATGAGTACACTGGGATTGGCGGGGCGAGGTGACTGGTCGCACCTGTTTCATTTAAGCAGGTGTGATAAACGGTATTGTGGGAGTAACTCAGTAATTGGGGTCAAAGTGAGAAAAATGACTCACGGAGAACGTGGCCCTCTCATCTGTCATGGACATCACAAAGGCCAGGGCCTCAGGGGTGGCAGAGCGAATGTTGTCAACCCGACCTTGTTGGAAACGCCGAATGGACGCACTCTCATAAGTGGCAACAAGCCTTCTGTTACATCTATATGAGGAGGCAGTATATTTGAAAGTGCACATTGATAGCCAAATTTGAAGATTGAGATCCTGAATGTGCCTTACTTGTAAAATGCAAGTTGTAAGGCAACTTGTATGAATGCATCTGGACTCATCTTCTGTTTTTTTATGAATTCTTTCCCATAAACGTTGAACTTGAAAACATCCATGTCAAGATTATTCACCAGCCTGAAGGAGAAAGCGCAGATGACATGAGACCAGATGTCTATAGAAGGAATTATTTGTAGATATGGTGGTTAGTTTCTTTGTGTTGGTCTTACTTCTGGAGTCTGTCTCCAGAAGCTGCTAAAAGTCCTTGGATGTGTGGGTTGCATTTCCAGAGCAGCCTTCTTGGAGGGGGGAGCTCTCTGACAGTGGATGCTTTCGCCATCTTGGAGGGACTCCCTGTTCTGTTCAAGACAACAACAGAACGTGTGCCTCAGCAGCCTTCGTTGACAACAATATTCAGTGTGTGGTTATATGTTTTGCTGCGATGGGCTGACTTACATGTATTTCATCAGGTATTCAGAGCATTGCACCATAACTATTCCCTCGAATGCCGAATGTTCGCACACAAATCCGCATATCCCGTCCATTCCTACAACAAACTGAGTGGAGGTGGATTAACTAACAGTCCAAACGCTACATTCATGGAGGATTAAGTGCCTTGAATGTTGCCCTACCTGCATTGACTTGTCATACCAGCGGTTTGCCCCATTCTTCTCGTGGCCGCCACCATGCAGCATCAGCAGGGACCTGTTAGTATCCCTAGGATCCAGGCCACTGGGCTCATCCAGACACACCACACACAGACCGCTCTCAATCAGGGCCAGAGAGTCCCTGTTGGTTTGATCTGGATGGGAAGGAGATGAGATATGTCTTGGTTTATTTCTTTCAAAATTGTTTGCAGTTGTTTGAAACTTGAGAGAATTAGAGAAACGTTCGAAGCAGAGACCTTTTTTTAGTGCATCTCTGGCTTGTGCCCATTCTGTTCTCCCATCAGTTGTCAGGATACCAAGAGGAGGGAGTCTCTCTGCTGCGTTTTCTGCCATTGTCATGATTTTCTCCAGTTGGGATAAGATCTCAGTCTCGATGAGCTGCTTGCCGTTTGCGACTACATCCAACACGAAAAACTAGTGAAAAAAAAATAGATTATAGAAATCATGTGTGCCTTCACTATTTAATCGTGTACTGCATCACACGATGCAATATTTGTGTTTAGATGTGTCCTTGTCTGCTATTAGTCATTCATATCTGAGTTTATTGTTTACTGCGGTACGGTACCTGGAACATCTTAGATAAATTGGACGATAGTGATTATGGCTGAAAATGGTCCAGTGCTACCTAAAAAAAAAAAAAAAAAAAAAAAAAAAAGGCTTCTCTACTGCGATCAGTTAAACACACGACTCAAGGAAGCTCTGGCTGATTCAATCGACAGTAATTTAGTTAACCGCCTGTATCTCCATAGGGACAGGCCCTTATCTGCCACAGATTGATAGTTCCCAGAACTGTTTCCAGGTGAGAGTCCCTACCGTGCCTCTTTTCCGAGGTTATTTAAAGGCACACTCCGTGAGCTAAATGTAATCAAAATAGTAGCGTTGAACCTAAGACCTGCGTGTTAGCGGCGTGGGCTTTATGCATTAATGGGAATCTTTATAGAGGATTATCAGTAAGATTTAAACATAATGTGGGGAACATGGCACAGATTACAGATTGTAGGCAGGCTGGCTTGTTACAGGGCCCTGTGGGAGTTGGCTGGTGCAGTTTTAAAGACAGAAAGACAACCACAACATTTGTAAACACTGTAGTAAAACCGACATTTTTAATCATGATCAGTTGAGAAACGAACAATATAAAACTAGGACCATGTATGTAAATAGGATTATATGATCACCAATTACTTACAATCTTTCGTCTGATTTGATCAGTGAGAGTAGTAACTATGTTCAGACCAGAGATACAATAAGAAATCAAAATGTGTAACTGAAGAGCAACTTTTTTGATGCGAGTCATATAGACCTATTAAAAGACGTCATTGTTTAGCCTGTCCTTTATTGAAAGGGTCTGTAAGATGTGGAGTAGGTGTGTCATCTATCGATAAACTCTTTGTATTTACTTATATTTTCTCTCAAATGGACAGGACACTGTCTCCAGTTACAAGTGTGATGGAGTGTGAAAAGTTTCCTCAGAGGCTGGCGTGCTGACCTGATTCTTGCACGCCACGATGATGTGCTGCGGCGCTGAGGAGGCTGCATTCATCTGGACCTCCAGCGTGTCTGTCTTTAACCCCGGGTAGCGGTAGGAGTTGAAGAGGCGGTAGTACTGCTCCATGCACAGAGGGGTTCCAGCTAGCTGGCCTCGAGCAAAATCCACTGGCAGCGCTCGCCTGAGAGACATTATTACACACATCAAATTACCTGTAACCTCTCACTTTATCACTTATCATTTGACTTCATTTTATTTTCATCTTAAATTCACTAACTTTGCTTTGTCGAGGTAACATCGATGAGGTGGGCTCGAGGGGCATGCAGGTGAAGAATGAGGGTGCAGGGTGGCATGTGATCCATTACAGGTTAAACTTACGCATCAATGAGAGCAGCATAGTCCAACACTCCTCTGATGAGACGAGCAGCAAATCTTGAAAAGAGTGAAGCGGTTTGAAATTTTAAAAAACTTGAAACATTGAACATACAGCGAACTGGCTGGTGATTGTAATCATATCTGCTCTCATCTCTCACAGGCTGAACAGTAATCACATTATGGCAAATTACTAGGATACAGTGGGCAAGCTGTGTGTGTTTATCTGTGTTTGTGAGAGAGAGAGAGAGAGACACACAGTCTGTATGTGTGAGTGGGCGGTGTGGGCAAATAGGGAAAACACAGAGCCCTGTCAGGTCTCATGTTGTATGTCATTTGTCTTGGTGTTATTACGTTCAAAGCCAGATCAATACAAAGGAGGCGGCCGCAGTGCACCACACCCCTAAATGAAGCCTGACTAGCAGTCTCTGCGGTGAGCTTGGCTCTGTCACTCCCAATCTAATAAGTGTCTGTGTCAGTAGATTACCAGCTTGGGGTGCTCTGGAACTATTCAGTTAGTGCGGCGAGAGCTGACAAAAGCTAATGTTGAGTTACAGGCCTGGGTGGACTGGTGTAATGTCTGGTGTATCACGGCTCATTTAATAACGGGCAGAGATACAACGAAGAGATGATGCCAGTGATTTTCTCCATGTCTGTAATTCAGATCTTATTCTGAGTCCGTGCCTGCTGAGAAGAACATAAACCCTGTCATTGGCTGCAGAACTGAGTGATATATCGGGTACTTTGTATTGGTAGTGATGGCATTGTTTTGCGGTTGAAAACCTGTGGTTGTCACAGACTCGCAAACAATCTGTGATGTCCAGTGCATTCTGGGAGTTGTTATGTGATATGAAGTATTGTGGTTGGCTTTTTTATGGAACTTGGTGTATTTATGTACTTCTGCTTAAATTTGAGATTGCCTATAGTTCCCAGAATGACTGAAAAGTGAGAGCAAAGTACAAACAGGGTTTTCAACAGGGCTGAGATAAATAGTTGATTGACAGAAGATTCATCTGCAACTCTTTTGATAATCAATCAATTGTTTAATTAAATTATGATGCAACAAGTTTCTGCTTCCTCCAGTCTGATGATTCTTTGTCTTATATAAAAGTCAACTTAATACCTTTGGGTTATGGACTGTTGGACAAAAGAACCTGAAGACGTCCCCGTGGACTCTTGGAACTCAGGTTTTTTACAATATTCGGACCTTTTTTGGACAAACCGGTTAATCGAGACAATTGTGAGATAAATTGATAATGAAGATACTTGTTCTATTTGTTTAAACACACAGCACATGCAAAGGTTTGGCAATAGCAGAACCAAAAGTCCAGCACATACCTGAGGGCGTCTTTACGATCTCTAAACGTCTGCTTAGGAAACACCATGACAGGACTGGAGTTGACCGGTAGGGCCAACCTGTTGTTCAAGTACATGTCCTCCAGCCAGTAGTCATACACCTAAATAAAAACACAGGGACGCTTTTTGAGAAATGTGGCTTTGTCAAACATTTTGGACTTAAGTTATTGCTGTCAGAGTTGGGCAATGGAGTAAAAAACCATTACAGTGTATCACTGCCAGGTGGAAAGGAGAGTGGGAGAGCGTCAGTGTGGGAGTGGGAGCGTGATAGATTTCACTGAGCTGGATGAGTTGTGGTCTGACCGATCACCCAGACGCAGGTGGAGATATTGAAGCAACAAAGGCTCCAATAAATCTTTATTGGAAGGTGTTTCACTTTCTTCAACTCTTTTATGAATGGGTAATATATTTCATTTTTATTTTCAGACTCATTAGAGCAGAGGCAGAGTTTGATACAGTATTATTACAAAAAAATACAATCAAAGCTGAGGCTGATTACAGACACTATATTGTAAAAGGTCAAATTCAATAAATTGGATTATAATGATAATGAATGATACAAAGAGTGTATTGATTGTAGAAAAATCGTTAGAGAATGATTTTGCAATGACGGTATTGACTTTTCCAAATGTACGTTTGATGAAATAGAAAGGAGAAACGCATCAAAATACTACTTTTAGAGACTAATAAAACAAAGACAAAGTTAATTGATACAAGGGGACCTACGGCATGGAGCAGCAGTGTTTTTATTTTATCTTGCAGATATTAGAGTTTACCCAGTTGGTCATCTTGTCCCTCCTCTCTGAAAGCTTCTTCTGGAGAACCTCTCCAACGCCTCCAGGAGCCCCGAACTTCTCCACGATGGCCTTTGTTTTTTTGAACTGCTCCTCCTTCACCAGGTGTTGGACACACTTCAAGTAAGTGTCGAGGGTTTGTTTCAGTGGGGGCACAGGGACCTTTGGCAACATCTGATGTCATTAAAAGAAACACAGGTTGGTATAATTACTCATAATAAGTGATGAAAGGACAGCAGCTGTTCACTATTTTTAAGTCTTTCCCCTGATTCACTGAGGGTTTATTAGTTAAAGTGGTAATTCCCTCACATCTTTTCTTTATGCTTAAAAAATAAATAAAACCTACGTTAATAATTCAACTTAAATGCTTCAAGGCTTATTTGAGAATAAACTCTCCAGCCCTCTGGGACTTGAACCACTTGTTTTCATTAGAATAGAAAATGCAAATTGATTATCTTTTCTGTCTGATGTTTGATCATTTGCATAACTGTACTTTTAGAAGCCCCACATGTTAATATTGACAAGTACAGTGAGTTGTAAAATAGGTTTCCTAGCTATGGATTCCTGGAAATGGGGTTTGTGGAGATGTTTTTTTAGTAAGTCATATAAATTGTTATGCTTGGAAAAACTTAGATTAAAATTTGGAGCCAATCAAACCACAGTAAATACAATGCAAACTCAATGATATCATAATCCTCCACTGGCTCAATGTGGATTCAACGACACAAAATAGTACAATACTGTCTGGACGGTGAAGGGCCCGCTGTCTTTTTTGCCCCTAGCGGCCAGTTAGCATAAGTGGCGCAGCCGCTGTCCGTGGTGCTGAAATTCAACACTATTACTTTGCCAACTTCAGGACCATGGACAGCGACAATGCTCAGAGTGCTGATTGAAAAGAAAAGAAACATGTTCACTGTAAAAGGAATTACATGTTTTCATACTTTGCTGTCTCGGCCACTGGCCGCCTCTTTCTCCATGATTGGCATCTTTGCATTCCAGTCCAGTCAAAGGGAAATAATGTGGAAAGCCTCTCGAGAGGATCTGAGGTCAGTCTTCCCTGCATGAAGCATGTAAAGACATTTGAGAGAGTGCAGTATAGAAAAATTACAGTAAATAAAATGAGGCCTACTGAGCAATGGAGTTACATAGTACTGTCTGAAAGTGAACCATCAGGCTTCCATTCTTCATGGTTTTGCAGCCATAATGCAATTTGCTGCATGTCCTTGAATTCCAGCTGTGCCTCATCGCTCACCACTGCAAAGAGATATGCATCTTAAAAACTCATTTCATCTCTATTTCAGTCCTCGAAGCTTCACTTTTCCCAAAACAAATGAAAATTCAGCCAATGAAGGGAGAAAATGTGTACTTATTTTAATAACACAATGCTAAAATATATACAAAATTATAGATAATTCTGTATCCCTGGATGCAAGTCGGGCAACAAGTTAAATGATTAACAATTAAATACAACTTTTCAAAAACAAATTTTACAGCACAGTGGACTTCAGAGTAAATTAAATGAGTTTCAAAGATGCATAATCGTACATGCTGTGCGCCAAAGAAACTCACCCAGCGCATTATACCGTTCTTTAATAAACATTTACTTAAAAGTGAAGAAAAGTTACCTTACCTGATCGGTGCACGACTCAAGAGGTCAGATGAGTGTGTGGAAGTTCACATTGCCGCCCACGTCCACGCTGTGAAATCCCATATTAGTGTAAAGCTCCGTTCAGACGCCGGACTTCTCCTCCATTCCCTCTTCTCGCCATAAGGCTGCGACTCCACGTTAAAGTGCGCCTTGGAAAAGATGCTGAAGGTGTTTGCGTCTATACCTACCCCCTTGGGGCAAGAAACTCCTCCCATTGAAATCTATTCGCGGAACATATTATCTGACAGCTTGCTCCCCCCCCCCCCCCCCCCCCCCCCCCTCCTCCCCCCTCTGCCCACATCCGATAATACTTTTTATACAGAAACAATTAGTGAGACTCGCTTTTTGTTTGTCATTCATATGTCCTGGTCCTGCGGGTCGACAGAGATGACAGTAATGGTGCTTTTACGGTTCAGATTAAAGTCCTGTGCGCTTTCTGCCGAGATTGTCATCTTGATTTGAATCAATAAGGGATGCCCTTGTGAAAAATAGATCTGTTTTGCAGCTGTAGCCTCATTTTCTAAACTATAAGCTTTATATGTGTTTTTGTTTTATATTGTGGCAAATGTGCCAAATTGTGAGATTCTAAATTTGTATGTATTTTTTGTTTCAATAAACAGGACGAATAATATTTTTCTCACTTTTCATAATGGAATCCTGATGAGATTTGTCTTTTTTTCAGCCATGTGTTTTAATACTTCTAGAAAAGCAACATGGAGTTTGAATCGCTTTTCATAATCTGAATTCATGGTATTTCTAACGAAAAATGTTCCAGACTTATTTTGTTTTTGTTCGTTTGAAGCTTGAAATAACAATGAAATCACCAGTGTCACGCAGGTCCAAACAGAGATTTATTAAAACGACAATTGATAAATGAATACATATGTTTTCATCGGAAGGAGACTGACTTCATTAGCTACGTCTTGACAAAATGTTTCATACATACACACGCGCGCACACACAAACAAACGCACACGTACTTTGTAGAGGTCCACGTATGTTTTAACCATTTAAATTGTGCACATATACACATATGTACAAAATCCATTTATTATGATGCATTTAATACAACAAAAACATTTCAAACGGGCCCACTTGTTACAAAATCAAAATTCACGAATTGTTTTGAACAACTTAAAAGGAAAATCAGGCCTTTGATGTGCAAGTAAAAAAAGTTTCTTCAGAGACTAAAAATATAGGCTATTTTTTTGTGTAAGGGGGGGAAATGTGCTGCATATAGTTGGTCCCATATAGTATTGTGCGTACATTTATCTATTTATATCTTTTTACAATAGTGATACACACGAATTCAACGGTAGCTGATAGATCTCACACAAAACTCCAATTATACGTCCATGACAAACGCTACATAGACGTGTTCGACACAATGAAATCACAGTCAAAAAGAAACTATAAAGCGGGTCACACCATGATTTTGGTGATTGGGTCTTTATATTGCACATCAGTACTTACATAAAAGTTTAAATTACTTGACTATAACCTGCCTCATCTCCAAATCTCTCCTGGGGAATGTTTCGGGGGGCGGTGAGAGTGTGTGGCCGGGCTAAGTGTACTCCGGACCGGACGACTCCTCTGACGCGGACCGCTGTGCTCTGAAATTGTCAAACCCATTTTCATCTACTGCAAGGCAATTCCCTGCCGAACGGTAGCCCTTCTTTTTAGCTCTCCTCTCCTCCATCTTGATAGTATCGTACAGCCCCTGCGGAGCCTCCTCCAAGAGGTTATCTCTCTCTGAGTGGGACGGTTTCATTTGGCACACGTTGCGCAGAAGCAACAGGGCTGGTGCGTAAAGCACATTCACGAGGCCCATGCCCAAATTAAGTTGTACAAACCCGATATTGTGCACTATCTGGCTGGCTACTATAGGACCCATAGCATATGCAACAGAATAGGAAATATCTGCTATGGCATAAATACTACCGTACACTGAAACATGACGCACGTCAACTAAAAATGCAAGTGTCGGCAGCAGGGCAGTGTCTACCAGTGCAATGCCAAAACAAATGCCGCACAACGGGGCGATGAGCTGCCCAAAGGTTTTGCATGCAGGGACTGTGCAGGAGCTCGCTCCTATGATAACCATACCTAAAGCTCCGTAAAACCACTGCAAATTTGGATGCTTAGCTGCCAATTTAACTGTCATGTACACACCGAGGACATGAGGAAAGAAGGCTGGGAGCCAGGTGAGCCCCATTTGCCACTGAGTGGAGTGCATGGTGGTCTCCATCCAGTTGGATATGGTGGGCTCGAGAAAGGCCAAGGGGATATTACAGACTGTCAGCGCCCCGGCCACCACAGCTATGTACGGGTCAACCATGAGTTTATATATGGGGGTGCCGACTGGTCTGTTCTCTCTAGTCCTGTTGGAGAACGGCTTGATCACAGTCAGCAGCAGAAAGCCGTCCGCCAGGCAAATGCAGGCGAGCACGATGAAGGGCACTTTCTTGCCCACAAACTCGTACAGGATGCCCCCAAAAGGAGGCGCCACCAGACTCCCAAAAGAGATAAACGCCAGGGCGATGCCCAGCGCCGTGCTTCTCTCCGACTCCTCCGTGTATTTGTCAGCTATCATCGCGATGCCAGAGGTGTCCGCGAAAGCCGACCCCAGACCCTGCAAACTTCTGGCCACAAAGAGCGTCGCGTAGTTCTCCCCAATTGCAAATATGCAGGTGGACACGAACATAACGCTCAGTCCAATTAAAAGTGGAATGTCATATCCAACCCGGTCTATGAAAGTTCCCGACAGCGGGCTAACTAGCAGCTGCAGGATGGCTTTAGATGCGAAAAGTACTCCAATCTGGATATCTAAATTGTTCTTGTTGATTTTGTCTTGGCTTGTGCTGTTGAATGAAGAGTTGCGGTGCATCACTACGTGGACGTGCTCTGACTGCTCACTCTCCAGTTCAGCAAGATAGTCTGGAATAATTGGCACGATTACCATGTAGAGCATATTGTCCAGCAGGAGAGCCACGCAAACGATCACTAATATGATCCGTCTTTGCTGGTGAGGATCCTTCATTGCGGTGCCTAGCTCCTTGGTTCTTTCGCCCATCTCGGACAGCTTTACCGCGGCTGATTTGACCAACCCGGACGATCTTCCTTCTCCATCCATGATGTGCTTTTTTTTTATGACTTTCGATTTAAAAATTGTAGTTGTGCTTCTCCCGTCTGCTGCCGATCTTTTAACACCTCGGATGACGTATTGGTGTTTTCTCTACATTGATGTCATGCTCTCCGTCCTCACCTCGCCTGTGCGTAAAGGGAGAGGCGAAGAGGAACTCCGCTGCCTCATCGGTGAAGATGGTTTTCCTCAGTTTTCTCAACGTGTCTTTGCGCAGCCACATCCGATGCTGTTTCATGATCTCCCTAGAAGTGACGTGGTGAAGTCGTAGAGTTTCTGCACCGCGCAGAGGTTTCGGTCGCTAATCTCACATGGCAAAGCTTGTTTGGAGCGAAATTGGTTACTTATTTGCAACACCGAGGGCGCTCAAACTCTCTCATCTCTGTGTCCATTCCTCCTATCACCTGTGGCACTTTTGCGCGCAGCTCTGAGACCACGAGTGACTTCGTGGCCATTGGTGCACATTAAACCCGCAGGTTCGGCGCTATTTTAGTCCCTTTTTTGTCTCCTATTTTCACCAAGAGCTGTGACGCATCACCAGCTTGCCCCCAAGTGGATCCCTTCGCCACTTGCCTCCTTTATGTTAATTTCCATCCATGGCAGCAATCACTCCAACCAATAAGAGCCAATGAGCACCACATCACACGACCCCCTCTACAAAGAGGCTTTCTCATTCTTGTCCAGTGTGTGACTCTTGACTTTCATGTTATTCTTCAATGATTCTATATAAATCCATAGACGTGTACGGACATGCAAAGCTAGGACATCGTGGGTAATACATCTTTTACAAAGATCATCTATCCGATATTTATCTGAAGATGAGATAGACAAACACAAACTGTTTAAAAAAAGTAAGCGTGCGCGCGCACACAGATCGTAAGTGCATAGTTTATAAGAAAATCTAAAGAGGACTTAAAACAGTGCAAGCATAAATAAAACAACTATCTCACTTCTCGCCAAAGAGTTTTCATAAATATAGATATTTATAGAAATTAAGATATTAAAACTCAATCAAATATTAAATTCACTACATTCATTAGCTGCGTAAAAGGAAGAGTTTCTAGTTTACTATATTTGCTTTTTTGAATGTGTACCAGACAAGAACTCATAAACGAATGCAGCAGGAGCTGAAGAGATTTCAGCACCACGAGACTTTGGACAGCACCCGTTACCGCAGACGAACATGAAAGGCAGCCGAGGAGATTGTCACTTACTTCGTAAATGAAAAACAACAAAAAAATGTATACTTAGTTAAAATGTATCCAAGAAAACAAATCATATCAATAACAACACTAAACTGTGTGATAACATAGAAACCATTGCATTCAGCTCTTATGTCCTGAGATGGAATCGAACCCGACAGTACGGAGATGAGGGGACCTCTTGAAAGATTTAACACAAGACAACAGCGACACCGTGTGGTGAAAATCCACAAGTGACCACAACATCGACAAAAGATCATCTCATTACTCAGCGATGTTGTCCATGAAGTAGTCAGTAAATATTTTACATTATTACAACCACTGTAACCGGATGCTACTCATCATTTACAGTTTAGTCTGCGGTTTTTTCGATGATTCTTTTTGTTATTCATATTTAATGCATATGTATGCGTTAGAAAAAACAACAACAAATCTACACCATTTGAATTTTCCAGCAAATTAAGAGTATTCAAGCCTTGCTAATTTAAAAAATAAATTAACTGTAATCTAAAACTATTAAACTAAACTAGAAATGTTATCATTCGCCACTAGAGGGCAGTGAAGTCCTGCAAATAATGATAAATGTGTAATCCATTATCCGACTGTAAAACATTTTCTGACACTACACCAAAATCAAGTAATGAAAAGATCAATTCAACAGGCCTATCTTATCCTGTACGACGAACTCTTCAATTTGGATTTATACTTGTATAAAATGTATAAACTATACTATTATTTAAATGATATGTCGCCCCAGAAAGGAATAGATACAAATTAAAGTTTGGACCTTAAAGTTCAAATAGGTAATAACAATCAAACATGTTCCACATGCAATTATTTACTACTTTATGAGGCCTCACTTTGTGTGGGAATATATCTGTTTCTACCAAATGTGACTTGTGTTGCAGTACTTTTATTGCATATGTTAGTATTGTATGTGTAACAGCCCCAGCTAAGACAGCATCTTTTTAGTTGTTGATATCAACACTTTTTGATAATTATAGTTATAGAGAGAATATTGGATGATGATCTCAGCAGACAGCGGATGGGTGTTTCCAGGGTGTTCAGTGGATTATTTGATGCAGAAAAGGCAACATTAATACACCAACGGGAGGATTAACACATCACAGCAAATTACTGCCCAATTTCACTAATGAGAGAGGCTTGGCACAGCAGCAGCCGTCAGAAAAACACACTACTGTTTCTTTTTTTTTTATATACAGATTTTATATGAGTGACAGTGCAGAGATGTGAGTGACTACATTGACAATCTGGAGTTCATAGTGTGAGATTTCTCGTCTGTGTTGAGACACGGACGGTGGGAAAACGTTGTGAGAGATCAATCGATCAATGACGCCAGAAGAAAAGCTGTATGTGAAGGCTAGTGACGCGAATATAATCTAATCCAGATTATACTCTGGAAGACGATCCTTTTGATATTATTTCAAAAAAAATCCACAGGAGGTGTGTCACATCTTTGACACAATTTGTTGATGTGTTAAAATCAAAATATCAGTTGGTGAAAGAGAAATCGTTTTGGTTTATGAACAGACATGTGCAGTGTTTTACGTAAGATCTTTGTTTTTGTCATGTGACATGTCGATGTCATCTAATCCGACCTGCTGACTGCAACATGTAATGTCTACTGCAGGATTCTCTCTGACCTTTGCTTTTCTTTTCTAAGTAACTCTCGGCTAAATTATTATTTAACATCGAGCATTGTGTTTAGTGGGCCAATAGAAAGTTACTAATTATCTTGCGAATTTATGCAAACACTGTTTCCCTCAATCGACCTCTGTGCTTCACCTTTTACTCAGTAAAGTATTTTATGCTCTGCTTATTCTTTTATTTCCCAAATTGTAACTCAGCAGGGGAATCTTGTGCACTTAAACAGATCATCAGTTGATGTAAAATAAAGTGCTGTTCAACCATAATCCTCCTTTTAAGAGTCCTTGTGCTTTTTGATTTTTGTAGAAATCTAATTCTGCAGCAGTTAATAGCATTAACGGTAAGCGTTATTGTACTCTTACTACAAAACCTAGAACTTGAAGTGTTTCAGAATGGCAAAGGTAATCTGACAGTATTTCTTATCTTATCTTGTACTCTTCAAATCATAATTATTATATCATAGTTCTTTAGGGCTGTAGCTATCATGCAGAGTGTCATGTTCTCAATATTATTTCTCAGAATTTGGGGGCTTTTAGGTGATATCTTGAGGCTCATTTAAAAATGTGCTGTGAAAATTAGGCTATTTTAGGTAAAACAATCATACTTCTATTATTGTACAATCATTTCAGTATTTCTACAGCTGAGTTGTATTCCTTGCAGTGTGCAGAAGGCCTGGAAACGGCTCTATATGTGTATGATTGTTTGTACTGTTTGATTTAACAGTTGAATTCGATAAAATATATGTTTAGTTTTTCCGGTGTTTGTTAGTGGAACGATTTAGAGCCACCAAAGCTTGTATCAACCTTGCAGAGTGCATTTCTTTTCCCTCTCCTCTTTCTGGAATTTTTTTTGTGACAGATGTTTTCTATTTCTTTTTTTTTAACACCATCTGTCTGTGACTAGCATTATATTTAACACACCTATGATCACTATTCAAGCACAGACAGGAACACCTTCACCTCACCTTGTGGGTGGATGGTAATCTAAATCCTGACTCGACTGAATGAAAAGGGTTGTTGACGGATTTAGCTACTCAATGAGACTGCGTCTCTCTCAGCCAAGTTGTTCTCCTTTCTTCCTGTGAGCTTGTTGCTATTACTGTCGCTTCTATCTACAGCCGTGACCGATTTAGATCACTGGTACGCAAACGCTTGTCTTGTCAATGGGACGCCTGTTCCCAAGAACTTGATGCTAATCTGTTGGATTCCCCAGTCTTTCCTGGGTAAAACCCTGATCATCCCAATGGATGAGGAGCAGTAGAGTTCATGAGGAAGTATTATGCCTGCCATCTACTACCTGCTAATGAGACCAGCTTGTTTGGCGTGCTGCAAGGACACTAAAGAGCCGGCTGCATGAGTCAGTTTAAGACTAGTGGAGTCTTTTTTCTTTTCTTTTTTTTCATCAGTCAGCATGCAGGGAAAAGGCTGAGTTTGCACAGCATAAAAATATATAACATTGCCGCAAAGAGCTATACAGTCAGGTTTAGGGAAATAGTTTTGTGATTTCCGTGTGCTAAAACAAATCTGTTCCATCTTAACGATAAAATAATTTCGTTCAGCCACCTCATGAAACATGGGGACGGTGGAGACTTACAATTTAATAATATATATTTGTTAGCACCATGCCTGCCTTGAGAGACTGCTTTTGATGGGAGGGAAGGGCCCTTGTCCTGTCAGAGCAAACACATACTGGCAGAATGTTTGTTTCATATTGTTTGGAAAACCAATTAAATATATCACACCAGAAACATTTTTTAGTTTTTTATTAACACAAATGTTTTGAAATACAAAATCCAAAGATTTGACTTGTATTTAATGTCTTGTTGTAACAAGAGAGCCTACAGCCATGCTCAAGGGTCTGTGAGGCCGTACTTGAGCACGAAGGTGCATTGAGGTGAATGGTAAGGTCAATATGCTAAGCAGGTTACATGTTTGCTGTGTTTAGATTAGCATGCTTTTTTTTAGGTATGTGGTCATAATCTTAAAATATAGGACAGTTTGATCTGATGATGGCGCTGGTTTACAACTCAAGGGATCAAACAGAAAATAATATAATTCACCCCGTAGGTAACATGAATGTGTGAACTACATTTTCAAGTTTTCTGTCCAATCTTTGTTATTTCCAAACCACAAAGACCAGACATTTCATGCTGTGGAGATGTAGCTGCTTTCCCTTCTGGCCAAGTAAATCCCTTAATTTATGCACTGATCATTTTAATTGCCTTTATTAGACAATGTATCACAGATGCTACATGCTGACAACGCTGCTATCCAAGAATTATTTTTGTAATTCAAGGAGACAACAGGAGTATTTTTGGATGGCTCTGAACATGCGTGAACATTGTTCATTAGAGCCGGCTCGTCTTGAGTGAAGACAGGCTGCCTTCGACGGTGAGAGGATTTCACCTGCTGACACCTGCCTGGCAAGAACGTCAGTCGCATCTGAGGTCAGTGTAACAGCAGTTTATTTCTGGAGTTGCATGTGTTCAGCAGCTCAGAGATCAAAGTGCTGTCGTCTTGTATTTTCTGTGCCCTCGCTGACACTGTTAACACTTGCTTTTAATGTGACTCATAGAAAAGACAGAATGTTAAGCATGTAGTCCAAAGAAATAGGTACAACGGTACATTTTAATGCTGGTATTATTAATGGCAGACATGAACCTATATTTTAATGAGTAGCTCCACGGTAAGGCAATTTGAGATCTAGCACACAATCTACCTCTTTATTTATCAGTTTATGCTATTTAAAGAATCGCCTACTTTGAAATGAGTTCATGAAGTTCACTTTGCCTCAAGTGTTGACTTTGGTATTATTGCATAATAGAGTCTTAACACAGTGACGGCTTTTCTTACCATATATAGAAGTTACATTGTCTTCATAACAAAACCACAATTGATCAGTCTGCTTAGTAAACGGTTGAGACAGCTGTGTCAGGAGAGGGCATCTCTGAATGCTGGTCAATTGTAGAAATCTTAGTTATAACATCAGCTCAGTTATTCAGGTTAAAGTAGATGAAGCATACAGTAGAAGAGCAGCAACACAATGTGTTTATTGTAAGTGGTCTAACACGGACGGAGTAGCAGTGCAGGTTTTTAAGACAAATGTAGAAATTATGCAGTAATTTGATAATTACACAAGACACATTTTGTAGATTTACATAAATCCAGCATCAAGCTCCAAATGCAGAGATTGTCCTGAGTTTCAGCTACTGTCCACATGTGAAAACATACCAACTGTACAGACATCTAAAGGGCTCACTGATGTTTACAACATCAGAGCAAATGATGATTTGATGATGACGTATTGAGTTTCCTTTTATTTTGACTTCTTGACCACCGGATCAACGATCTTCTGCCCGGTGAGGAAGTGCCACACGCCGCCGCGGTAGAACTCATTTCCGAATGAGTAGAGGAGAGCGTTGAAGATGGGGTTTGTCTTTGCAACAACTGGAAGCACCTGCGAGCACAAAGAAGGATTCTCATCAAGTTAGGTGCTCGATTCAAAGGATAGTTACGAGTTTATTAAAACACATAGCAACACATTGACATTGTTACAACAAAACCTGAGCAGTCAAAAGGTTGTAAACACGCCGACAGTTTAGCCAGATTAAATAAACTACGAATTCTCCTTTAAACTAAGTCAGGAATAAGATGACTTACTTTCTTCCCTTTTCATCATTTTGACTGCATTTTCCCACAAACTGTTGGACTGAATTAAACTAAATAAATGCTCACCATTCTTAGCTTTGGAGATACGACCTTCACATTCTCAAAGCAGGCGTAGATACACATGAGGACGTAGGGGCCCCAGCACATCAGCATTACCCTCAAGGGGATACTGGTGTTAAACTGGGAAACAAAGTTCATCGTGTTACTGTAGATATCACACAAGCAATGTAGTGGATTTATAACGCTGATGGTTTCGTTTTTAAATTATTCAGTCAAGTTCAATTGTATTGCCTTCTGGCAGAGCACTATATCAATAACTCTCTGCAAGAAGGAGAATAATTGCATTTCCCAAAATGTCAAACTGACATGTTGGAGGCATCATTGTGTGTCTGTTTGTCCAAATACGACAAACAGAATAGACACTGTGTACTACAGCAGCAGCTTAACACAAGTCAGTCGAGACTTTTCTTTTTTGCACATTTACCCTGTGGTGATGGATCTTCTTAAAGTGCTTGTGGATGGCATCGTAACATGACCACATGGTGAAAGCTGGGAACATCAGATAGAGCAACACCAGAGTCAGCATGTAGGTCACATAGTCCCTGTTGAAAAGAGATTCATAGGAAAATAAGATGTAATATGGTAAATACTTGTCAAAATGCTACTGAAAGCTGCATTTCTTAACTAGTGTACATGCTATTTTGTCTAAATAAGTAATTATCTTTTTTTTTTTTGCTAACTATAGACATATAGATATGGACTGATAGTGAGGAAAATAACAACATTCCAGTTTTAGTATCATTCCTATATTTATACAATTCTACCTGTCCCCTCTGGTGTAGTCCAGCGTGCAGCAAGTCCTCATAGGCTCAAAGTCATAGACGCCCCATCCCATGAGAGGAACCGCAGCCCAGAAGATGGAAAGAATCCAGATGATGCCGCTCATCGTCAAAGTAGTGCTCCAGAAGAGCTTCTGTCCTACAGAATAAAGAACACCGCTGGATGTGAGTTGACATTTCTCTGCTATTTGTACTCACTGGTGCAGTACTGGTGATATGTTGTACTTACTGGTGCAGTACTGGTGATATGTTGTACTCACTGGTGATATGTTGTACTTACTGGTGCAGTACTGGTGATATGTTGTACTTACTGGTGCAGTACTGGTGATATCTGTCCCAAGCAATGACACCCATGAAGCTGATGGACGCCAGGACCGATATCATGCCCTGAAAACCGTGAAAGGCACATCCATCTTGACCAAATGGCCAATATCTAGAAAAGACAGCAGAACTTGAGTCATATTCCACCATGTTGAGAACTACTGCCTAAACCCAGTGTTATTATCACGCCTACATCAGGCTGTAAAAGCATTTTGATTACATTTTTTAAAACGGCATGATTTCACGCGGCTGAATCTGGTTCCCAACGTTTCTAGCATGTGACCAAGTCAGCCCTATATACCCACAGCCCCTCATATATGTAGGTCGTATTTGAAGATGAGCTGTGAGCATTTAAAGCAAAGAGTGATGTGCCCTTCTCAGATAGTCTCAGTCAACATCCGGAAAAGGTAAAACTCCAATGTGTCGCCAAGAATAGTCAGAATAATATATTTGTTAAACATCTGGCAACTCCTCAGATTTATCTTCCCAATGCCCAAGACTGGATTACTAACGCGAGCTATTGTTATTGATACTGTATGCACTAGTATGCAGGTAAAATCTAGTTCTAAGGCCTTTACTATTTCAGTTTATTTTTAAATATATTGGAGGTTTGAATATTTAAACGTTGCTACATTTTAATTATAATCATGCTGGATAACTTCCAACCGATCCCATTGCAAAATCTGAACTTTACACACTGAATAAGGTGGAATGTGGATTATGAACCCAAAGGCTTATTTAGTTTGTGCGACCCAGTGGCTGATACCAAATACTAAGCCCTGGCTTTTCAGTGCCTAAAGAAATGTAGAAACCCCACCATGGAACAGAATGGGGCCTCGGGAAGGAAAATAACTCTTTAAAACCTCAGTGTGACCTCTGTTTGATACCTGAGGTAGCTCGCATAGGCAGCAGTGAGGCCATTAATATTCAAACAGATGTCAGCCACGGCAAGGTTGAACACAAAGAAGTTGCTGGGAGTCCGCATCTCCTTCACAGCGAGGTAAGACAAGATGCTGATGGCATTGAGGAAGAATCCAAGCATGCCTGAAGGAAACAATAAGAAGATAAATGTATGACAGTTATCAACCTGAATATGTATCCAAAAATATATGCAAGGTGAACTTATATTTGCAATCACATCACAATGAGAAAAATAAAATGCATGTTTGTTTTTGTCATAATTTAAGATGCTTTTATTATCTAAGTAAATGTTTTTTTTAGACTGAACTGTCTCTTTAATTCTAGCAGAAACATGTCTTCCGGTATTCTCGGTGAACTTACCCCCGACAAGAAGTGCAGAGCCGAATGAAAACATATCGAACTCCGTGAATCCCTCCGGTAATGCAAACGCTGCCATGTTGAAATGCGCAAACTTTTAAAACTTTTGCACGAGCTCAAGTTGTCCTTTCCCTGTTGTGCAGCGCACCAACGTCTCGGACAAAATGTCGCCTTATAAAGGCTCTTTCACGTGAAAAAGCACAACGAGACTAATCTCAGTAAACCCCCACTTTTGAAATCCTCCGAAGAATGTCCTAACGAGCGGACTTCTATCACACGTCCTGCAACTTCACCACCGACTATAGTGCGCAACTCTTCGATGGAGAGCTTGCGCTTTCTCAGTTTGATTAAAGGCCGCTGCTGCAAACTCATCACAGCTTTTCTTTCAACTCCGTTATGATACTTGACTCATCTGACGGTGTTTCTGTTGCAGTGGGTGATGAGGAAAACATGGACACATGGGAAATGTTGTTTTTAACTCTCAAATATAGGCCACCACACACAGGGTAACATCTCTCTCTTTAGTGGTTATTGATTGAACATTTGATTATTGACATTTGTGAAATAAAGAGGCCATGATGGAATGATAACATTGCTGCTGTAATTTAAATATATTTGTACACATTGACTGAGTGTTGCGGTATCTATATTATGTCAGTGCCTTGTCTGATGCAAATGTGTGATTTTGGGCTTTTATACACAACATCGACTTGACAGAAACTGAAGCAAATGTGACTTTTGAATTGCATAGCCTACATGTATGTATACACAGATACAAGTTCAGTTGTATGCTCTGTATTTCAAAGTATATGGGCTATAGTTTGGGATTGCAAAAGCAGGTTGTGGAGCAGGTGGGAACTTTTAAATACTCAAAACAGAACGACTTCTGTCTTATTCTCAGCAAAGTGACTCAGACTGCACTCACTCTTAAGGTTACACCCTTGTGCAGCTTTCTCCCTGTTAAAAACAAACCAAAAACTTCCTTTGGATCATCAAAAATGCATGTAAAGTAAAAGGCACTCGGTACAAACCAGCAGATCTTTACACCTGACTGACAAATGAATACATAATTAAGTTTGAAAGGTCAATTAAAAAGTCTGTGAAAGCATCAGAACCTCATTAATTTACTCATAAATAACCCGAAAAGACGAGGGCAGCCTGAACATTTAAAAAATGTAACATTTGGGCCGAGTCTGATTGCACCACTAATCTGCCCACAGATTACCAAAAACTCATTAACTATGAAGTAATGATGTGTCCCAATAGACTTATAATACCCTTTTCTCAAACTGCCCGTGTTGTCCTCACTGAAAGCTCAGCGCAGGAATCATCACGGAGAACGTGAATGTAGAGGATTTATCAATTGTAATCTTTGTTCGCTTTGTGTTTTTTGTCAGAGTTTCGGTTCTAACGTTAAACTATGATATGAGCGCTGGAATGAGAACAAAAATACTTTTTCAACAACATTTGAAAGTTGAAGCGTTGTCCAACAAATTTCTTCTCTCCTTCTGTGCTTTGTATTGATCGACATGTGGACCAAAAAGTTATATCCTTTAAAAAAGTCAGCACCATGAAGCCTTAACTTACTGAAAGAAATCAGGATCTCATTGAACTTCTTAATTAATACAGACTTAGTGAGAGGCTATAGCCACGAATACATACTGTGAGAATACAACTCACAACTGAAACTGACCTGAATACCCTGTCTGTGATATTTTTATTCCAAAGCGCTTGCACCCTTGCAGTGTTTACACATTAATGCATTGGCTAACGCATAATTACACAATCATAATCTGCTGGTTCTGCAATAAAACAAAGGTTTTACTGTTGGAATCTCTTTCGGTCCGGCACACTCTGAAGATCAAGAGCGAGATGAAAAAGTGAAATAAATGTTTTTCTTTATTCCTGTAAAAGTACCAAGTGATAACATCAGAAACGAGAAGCAATGCAATGACTTTACTTATGTACTGTACCTCAATATAATCTCCAGGTAGGGAACAACACAGAGGGAGACATTGTAACTTGTATTCCACTTTATCTGACACAAGATACTTTGCTGGTTGACATTTTAAATTTAGTTTTATCTAAGAAGCTGGGAAGTAGCAAAACACATTTACAACTAAGTACTGTAGTACATTTTGAGGTACTGAGTATTTTCATTTAATCCTGCTTTACACTTCTACTTGATATTGTACTTTTTTATGACACATGATGATCTTTACTTCAAACCAATTGGTGTATAAGGTTCATAAAAGTGGATACACATTGACACATTTATTTAAGTAGTAATATCCCATATTAACACTGAAAGGAGTTTTTCTGTATTACGAGTACTTTTACTTTTGAAACTTTGAATACATTTTACTGATAATATAGGAAATATAAATTACAGATCTTTAAAACAGCCAAAAAACAGCCTTGTTTAGCATTTTTGACATGATAAGTGTTCTACAAATGACCGTTTCTCAGATTAGAGATACACATTTTGGAAGTTTTTACTTCATTTTATAACCCCATTTTTTTCAAATCTCATTTTTTCACCATTCCACTTCCTCCAAATACGGGGATTTTCAATCATTTTACTCTGACAGGGGCCAGTCTTTATTAGGAGAACATATATTCTTTCAAATGCCTTCATTTGCCTGGGACAACCCTCCTGAAAGAAAATAGAACAAAGATGTATTAATAAGAGACAGAGAGATGACTGGATTAAAGGATTTGAGATCCCGCCAGACAGCCGTGTCTTTAGACCTCTGCACCTGTGAAAAAAACCCACAGAGAATGTGACAACACGTCTGTCATCCACCAACTGTGTCACACACAAAATGTGTTCTGCAGGTTACTACTGAAAATGATAATGCAGTTTAATAATAGTATATTAGTAATCTTAATAATTGGAGATTATTCTCACATAATTCTTTGACTTCTTTGAAGTTTTTTTTAATAATAATTCATCTTTTGGTATTGAAAGCCAGTGTTCAACTGCATTTGCTTCCATGATGCTGTCATTTATCTGGTTTGAAGATTGGAATAACGAGAGGGTAAGTAACACAGTAAATACCTGTAGCACCTCTCTACCGCCATCTAGTGGTCACGTGTTGCTAGGTTTCTAGCCTTCATGCCAACTACAGTCCGTCTATGTATTAAACATTATTAATAGACTGCATGATTCACGACAGGCTAACATAACAATAATACATGTTAATGAAAATGTTCTAAAACGTAAGCACCTCCCTGTGCTTTCATACCAGAGTTGTAATCTGTATTTGGTGAATGATTGTCTAATAATGTGAGGTAGGAGGCCTAACAATCTTACAGTGTTTACTCCGATATTTAGCAGTGAATGATATGACTTAACGGGAAAATATTGATACAATTGTAAACAAAAATTAGAGCATTAAAAAAAAAATATATATATATATATCCTATCTATCTTTAAAATCGTTGTGAAAAAGAGTTAATTTTTTTGTGTACCTTTAGCTTAGGTGCTGTAGTTTGCTTTGTTCATTAAATAACTATCCAGTCAATATTGGAAACTATTCCCCAGAGAATAAAAGTATAAAACTATGCAGCCTATCAGCTTCCAGGAAGCAATAGCCTAATCGTGTGAATGAAAATAACCCGAGTCCTCCACTAATCCCTGCCTATCCTTTTTATCTCAGGATTCAGACCAGTCGGAGCAGTATGGAGCTGAGAGCCTGCAAACCACTACGATGCATTTGATGCCCCATTAAACGCTACTATTTTTATTTATTTTTTTATTTATTTTTTTACAATTGTAGTCTAGCTGCATAGCGTTTAGTAGCTTGCAGGAGAAAACATGAGTCGACATTTTACCACTGTTTTCGGTTTGGCTATAGTTTTTCTTCCTTTCCTGAGCAGTTCATGTCCTGCACAATGCAGCTGCTTCTTCCACAAATTAAGCGACGGGTCAAAAGCAAGGTAAATATGGTAATTTGTTAAATTGAATGTTGTTGTTTGAATTTTATTCTCAGCATGTGTTAAATGTTTTTTTCTTGCATGCAAAAGTGATTTTTACTTCAGCTTTCTTCTGTTAAGTCATTCCGTTTAGTGGAGGATTAACTTGGAGTTGCCCTTTAATCTGCTTTGCTTGTTACTGAACAATAGATTACTACGTTTTTCTCAATACATGCTCTGCTATATTATTTTTTTAGGTAAAATAGAGGCAGGAAATAAATTTGTTTTGTAATTAAATCCACTTCTACAAACCCTTACAATTTGAAAGTAGCTTCAGTTTTGTTTCCCTTAACTGTCATATTAGAAATAATCATAATGAGAAATAAATAATATTTGTCCTTTTTTTTTTGCAGGAGTGTACTTTGCAACAATCCAGAGATCACTGGGGTTCCTCCAAACTTTCCCAGAGACACATCGAAGCTGCGCATTGAAAAGACGGCAATCACACGTATTTCAAGCGACAACTTCCACTACCTCAACAACCTGGAGTTTCTGTGGATGTCTTTCAATTCACTGAATTCACTGAATGTTGACAGTTTCCGGGGTCTTTACAACCTGGATGAGCTCCGGCTGGATGGCAACTCCCTCACCTCCTTCCCCTGGGAGTCTCTGACTGATATGCCAAACCTGAGGCTCCTCGACCTACACAACAACAAGATCTCCACTATCCCTGCCCATTCCACTGTGCACATAAAGAATCTCACCTATCTGGACTTATCCAGCAACTCCCTGGCAACCGTTCCTGCTGACTTTCTCACCATGTGGCTGAGTGTGAAGCCGTCTCAGGACGCAGATTCCTCCAAACTAATTCTCGGTGAGGATCAAGCTGTGACATATTTGGATGCCGGAACTTATTCTTTTTAAGCTGCCTTGCATGACGACTACGTCTTTGACACCAGAAGTATTTAAAGAGTTAGGGATTAGTCTAATTATAGTTATTGTGTCCAGCGTGTCAAGATGTCACACTAATTCTATGTATTTTAACTCACAGCCACATGTACTTGGTCTTAAAGGGACTCTTTGGTGTTGTGTAAAGGAAATTCTACTGGATGGTAGTGACAGTAGGTTATAAGAGGATGTTTTTTTCTTTTTGCTGACAGCACTTTCTCACACCTCATCTCCTCTGCAGGTCTCCATGATAACCCGTGGCTGTGCGACTGCCGGCTGTACGATCTGGTCCAGTATCAGAAATCCCCGTCATCACCGGTAGCTCTCATCGACACCCGGCTGAGGTGCGCCGATCCGGAGAGCTTGTCGGGGGTTCTTTTCACCGAAGCGGAGCTGCAGAGGTGCCAGGGCCCTCGGGTGCACACGGCCGTGGCTCGTGTACGAAGCTCACTGGGCAACAACGTCCTGCTGCGCTGTGGCACAGTTGGAGTCCCCATCCCAGAGCTGTCCTGGAGCCGCGCTGATGGAAAGAAAATGAACGGCACCAGTGAGTTCTGCTGAACTGATTCCAGATGTGCCTGGATTGGAAGAGTATCTATTCCTGTCCAAGTCAAAGTGTCAATGAGATTAAAATTATTCTTTTTGTGCTAATCTGTTTGACTAGTCTGTGGGTGTCTGCTTTTTTATTTTTCAGTTCAGGAAGAGATTTCAAAGGAGGGCATCATTTGGTCGATTCTGAGCGTGCCTGCAGTCGCTTACCGAGACTCTGGGAAATATGTGTGCAAAGCAACCAACTTTGTGGGCACTGCAGACGCCATCATCTCTTTGGTGATCACAGATTCCTTTCGGTCAGAGGAAGCAGGTGGGGGGGTCTCTAAGAAAACCAGAGGGAAGAAACCCAGTGGCATTGGTAGAGCAGCATACCAGGAGAAACTTATTGCCAGATATGTTCCTCCAACCAGCACCGCTGCCCTACCCATCGTCAAACCTCTCAACGGCAAAGGCGTGACTGGGAAGTATGAGGTCGAAAGCTACAGCATCTCTGACGGTGCTTCTGAGGGAAGAGGCAAGGCTCCAGACCCTCAGAGACCGGTGCAGGTGGATGCTCTGAGCAACTTAGCAGCCAATGCCTCGTCCTTACAGCAAGCTCCCGAGAAAAGGGTAGTGCGTTCGGTGAAGGTGATTGGCGACACCGACCATACTGTCTCTCTGAACTGGCGAGCCCCTACAGCCACAAACATCACAGAATTCAGTGTCCTATATGCTGTATTTGGTGAGAGAGACATGCGTAGGGTCAACGTAGGTGCTGGAAAGAACCGAATCACCATTGACGGCCTTGTACCAAAGACAAAGTACATTGCTTGCGTTTGCGTTAAAGGCCTGATCCCAAAAAAGGAGCAGTGTGTAATCTTCTCAACAGATGAGGCGGCCAGTGCCAGTGGCACCCAGAAGCTCATTAATGTGGTGGTGATAACTGTAGCATGTGTGATCGCCGTCCCCCTGACACTGATTGTGTGCTGCGGGGCGCTAAAGAAGCGCTGCCAAAAGCTGCTGGGGCGGCAGTCCAAGGAGATTCAGGACTCGTACGTCACGTTTGAGACCCTGGGCCCTGGGACCAAACCTAAAGGGATGGAGGGAGAGTATCTGACAAGGATAAATCCTGACGAATCCAACAGGTTGCTCTCAGCGAGGTCCAGTGTTGACTCGGAGGCCACAGCCAGGACTGAGGGGCCACCAAATGAGTACTTCTGCTAAAACCAAACAAATTCCTCAACCTACAGAGGACGCACTTTGTTTTTTACCAGCCTGTGATGTAAATAGAGGAACTGCTGTGCTCAGAGACTCGAAAGACTGAGGACAGTGGTCACTGGTAGCTCAGTCGGCATTGGATGAACTACGTTGTTTTACAGCCTTGTGGGAATAAAAAACACCATTAATTTGGTGGACGGGAAAAAATACACAGTTACACAATTTCAGTATTTACATGTGGTGTACAGTAAATGTGTGAAAATATCTTTTTTTTTTTTTATTCATCATGCACTTTTAAAGTTGATGTTTTGCTGAGAAAAATGTTGCACAAAACAGTTTAAAACTCAATCATTTTTATTTTTATTCCAAGATGTAACCTCTGCATTGTGTTAAAATCTTGCTTTAGAACATAAAGTATTGAGAGAAAGGATTAACCAGTTATTAGTCTGTTTTATATGTCGGTATGAATTTAATGTGCCAGGTTTACTGTTGGGTCAAAAAACCTAAAATACACTAGTTCTCCATTTTATAATGTGTAAATATTTGTGACCTGAAATATGTGTATGTATGAATGTACTGTATCAAAATAAATATTTTTTTATATCGATATATTCAATTTAATTCAGTTAAATTTATTTATTTTTTATAGCCCGAAATCACAAATGTGCCTCAGAGGGCTTTACAATCTGTACACATACGACATCGTCTGTCCCAGGATCCTCACATCGGCACAGGAAAAACTCCCAAAAAAACTTTAACGGGGACAAAAAGTACTCTCAAGCGTTTTGTCTTACATCTCAGAATATTGATTTTCGAATAGATCGATATGTATCTTGACTAAAGCAGAAATTAGCTTATGTGCATTAAAAAGTATCATTTAATGGCTGTAAATATATGCTATTATAAAGATTGCTAAATTTCAGTTCTAATGCCGACACCTATACATGCGGGCTTTGCGTAGCGGCTGATAGCGAGTACCGATCCGATTCAGTGTTACTCGGATGTATGCCTCATTGTGTGGAAGTGACTAGTATACATTTTGTTTGTGTGTAAGGCTTCCAAACTTTGTAAAACAAAATATAACAAATAAATACATCGATATAAATACAGCTCGATCCAGCTATTTGAGTTAATATCGTACAGATATCCAATATCAGTGTCGGTATCAGTGCATCTCTATTTGTTATTTTTGCTGTGCAAGTAAACTAACAATATGAGATCATATGCTTGATTTAAAACTTGTTGCATAACTGGGAGTTGCCTACATTACCGAACATCTGATTTAAACTCTTTCTCTCTGCCTGTTAAATGTTGAGCATGTACACCAATGAAAAGGAAAAAATGCCTGTTAAAGATTGAAACCAAAGTGCTGTAGATTTTGTCCTTTTCCACATATTCTTTATATGCTGATTCAACAACCTGAGAGGCAACCAGTGTTCAGATTATTGAGGTCAGATTACAGTCCAGACATCTGTCTCTCTGTCTCTGTGCAGCCCTCCCTCTCTGTGCTGCTAAGCCCAACGGGCTCCGGCCCACTTAATACAGATGGCCCTCCTGTCATGCCAATGCCTCCGCTTTGGTGCTGGACAAATACAATAAATTAGACTGATGCAAAGCAGTTTGGGGTCATACCTGAAAGTAGAACTGCAGTATCAAACTTAACTCCTTAAATCTTGGTTGAACATTTATGGGGAGTGTTTTCATGCTTTTGATGAGATTTGCAAAGTGGACGATTGCTATAAATAAACCTTACCTATGTGTGTCTCACATGTCAGTCGGTGTCTTTAAGTGTTACGTCAAGCAAGATTAAGCTAATAGGCTTTCTGCTACACAGCCCGTGTCCTGTCCTCGCAGGCCTATTTCACATGCTCCCGCAGGAATATGGACGCCTTTTATGTCGCATTACGTATCGCTTTGGTATTTTATCTCATCGCCTCTGGATCATCAACATGTCTGACTGGTTGCTCCTGCACAGATGACAACTTGGGAAGGTAAGCGACCATTAGAACTACACAAACTATTAAGAGTAGGTTATGTGTTAGTCATAACACTGTTGTTTTAAATGTAACCTGCTAACCAAATGATTCTAAATCCTACAAACACTAAATGTGAGCAAATGGTGCATGTACATGTGTAGCTGTAGATAAAATGTGCACTTTTCTTGTCTAAACATATCTCGTCTTACCATCCTAGGTCTTTACTATGTATGGAAACCTCCATGGGAAAAATACCAGAGGACATCCCACATGATTTCACAAAAATCCGAATTGAAAACTGCCACCTGACTGAGTTACCTCGAGGATCTTTCTCTAAAATTAGTGCCTTAGAGTTCCTCTGGCTGAATTTCAATGAGATCACACTTATGAACATAAAAAGCCTGGACGGGCTGGCCAACCTGACTGAGCTCAGGCTGCAAGGGAACCAGCTGACTTCAGTAACATGGACGGCCTTTCAGGACACACCGAAACTGAAGATTTTGGACCTGAAGCACAATCGACTGGACTTCCTCCCCGAACACGCTCTGAGACACTTACCTGCACTGACCTACTTAGATTTATCCTTCAATCAGCTTAGTGTCATATCAAAAGACGTCTTCATTAATTGGCCACTTTACCAAACAGCAGAGAAAGCGTGGGGTAAAGAAGGGATAGTCTCAAATGTGGTTCTGGCGCTGCATGACAACCCCTGGTTGTGCGATTGCCGCCTCAAAGGCTTTGTTGAGTTCATCAGGGCGGTCAGCCCTCCCATCATTCTCATGAACTCTTATTTGATGTGCTTGGGCCCCGCCTCCAAAGCTGACAAGTTTTTCCACGAGATCCAGTTAAAAACATGCATGAAGCCGGTGGCCTCTGCCCCAGAGACTAACATCACTTTACCTCTCGGAGCAAATGCAACACTCACATGCTTAGTAAAGGCCAGGCCAGGCCCAACCGTTCAGTGGATGTACACTCTGAAGATTATAAGAGGATCTGCAGGTAAGAATTTATTTATTACTACTATCCATTAATTAAATAGTTGTGAACCTGCTCTGGGAGCACTTAACGTGGTATAGGTTGTACTTTCAGGCTGCATCTGCTTTATGAAAAGATTCATGAGCAATACCGTCTTGAGGGTTATCTATGTTTTTATCAGATATAAACAATCCTCTGATTTCAATTCTCTGACGCTATGGTTTCTACTTGCAGCTACAGAGACTCGCATAGACGAGGAGACCGTCACCTCTCAGCTGGTGATCCCCTCTCTTCACCTGGCAGACCGAGGACTCTATACCTGCATGGCCAACAACTTCATTGGCAACTCCTCTGTCAGCATCACAGTTAACATCAACTCCTTCAATTCCTCTGCTCTTCTCCCTCCACCTGTCCCCATGTTGTCTTCTGATGAGAATATCAACATTGACATCCGCATCGCCAAGCAGACAGTTTACGGTATCACCCTGGAGTGGTACGCAGTAACAGACAACCCAGCAGAAACTTGGTTCACCATCCACTTTGGCAAATATGACTCACCCAAAAAGGAGATGATCTACATTGGTCCCGGCATCAACAGCTACTCTGTCAGCGACCTGCTTCCTGTCACCAAATACGAGGTGTGCGTGTCCCTGAAGAACCATCCACCGAGGGAGGGCCAGTGCATCGTGTTTGTGACAGGAAGTGACATCAGTGAGCTGGAGCAAAGAGCGAGACTCATCCACATTATTGTTATTGTGTGTGCCATGGTGCTGGCAGTGCCGGCCGGCATGTACGCCTGCACCACGGAGGCTAGATTCAGCTGCGTGGATCGCTGTGTTAATCTGTGGAGGAGGCGCAGACTGCACGGAAGGAACCTGCAGGGAACGTCTGAGAGGCAAGGCACTTTTGACAGCCTGCAGGCAGCCAGCGATGAAGGCCTGTACAGGGACTCTGAGGATAAGCCGAAAAAGAGGCGGAAGTCTGAGGATACGTGAAAAGGTGGAAGTGCAGCTCAATTGTACAAGCATCAAAGTCAAGAAATGTACTGTACATACATGTGTATTTGTAAATAATGTCAGTGTGCATCTCTTGTAATATTATTACATTATTACATTTTTCAAAGATCATATTCAGAAGCTCTGTGACTGGATGTAACACTAATACACTAATGAGAGGCATAGACCAGAGCTATTATAGATATTATAGTCATGTAAATATCAGCTCAAAGTGGAGATGCCTTTCTTCCTTATTTTTGTACAGAAAGAAGTTTGTGATAAAATACATTTGACAGTTCTTTGGTTTCATTTTTTTTCTTAAAGTTTTTATACTTAATGCAAAAAAAATCCTGAATTTAAAATAATGTAAATAATTATTATTGTGTATATTTATTTTTTGTCAACCAAAACTAAATTGTAAGTGTGATATGTCAGGAGATTTCAATCGACTTGTTAAAAAAATATATTTTTGTATTTTTCGCAGACTCCAATTCAATTCCAGCTCCAACTCCCGATTTGCTGTCTTGTAATGGAATGACATGATGTTTGATGTGGATTAAAGAGAAGTCAGAGATGAATGCTGAGACATACTCAGATTTTTTAGCACAATCACTCAGCGGATTTGTTACATAAGCAGTGTTTTCCCGTGCATTTATACATACACCCGTAAGCAGATTAAAGTGATTTTCTATCTGAATCCTAGTCAGCAGGACATGATATTTCCATTTAATGACAGCTTCAAGCTCACTGTGTCTCTCCATGTCAATTGGAGGCAAATAAAGGGTATTCTTAGATTTTCAATATTCTTTTTCAAAATGTAATATTATAGCATGTCAGAAAAGTCATAGTATAGTATGTAAAAATGTCATTAGAAACAGGAAAGTGTACACATGAAGGACTTTTTATTTTGTTGTTTTCAATGTACATTGAAATACACCATGGGTAAAATATAAGGCAAACAAAGCTGACCTAAGTTAAACATGAACTACAGCATAATATTCTGTATCCGGCACAAAGATGCAAGTTTGCAAGATGCAAGCCTCCCAAGATTTCACAAATGTCCTTTTCCAACTTAAACCAAAATAGCCTCCGGGACAAAATTGAGCACAGACCAAATCATTTTCAAATATTTATTCAAAATTAAAACGGTACAAAGACGGTACAAATATGTTACTTCAAAAGGACCAAGCAAGTGAAATGTATAGTTAAGATGTATAGTTTATCTCAACTTATTTCAGATAGCTATGAGTTAAGA